AATAATAATAATAATAATAATAATAATAATAATAATAATAATAATAACAATAATAATAATAATCATCATCATCATCATCATGGCCTTCCTAGATTTAGTGTCAAATCCCAGTGTAAGGATTTTCGTTTCCTTCTGTGGCTTTTCTTTGTTGAAGAGCACAATAAACAGGGGTCTCTGGGAAACTTAAAATATGGAAGTAACTTTTTGGTTGATGAGTTGATTAGATTTACTGTCTGGATCTATCAGCTTATTTCTAATACTGATGGAGTTAGGGCCCCAGAATGGAGCTAAGGATAATGGTCTATCTTCACCAAGTCCTGGATGCCCAACTTCTTTCAAACTTAGTTACCCTTGACCTTTTTAAGTAGAAAGGAGGCACCACACTCCAAAATATAGGCACAACTGAAACTAAAATATTTGAAGGTTAATTAATTAAATATAAGAAATACAGTATGATTCCTCCCCATGCATGTCATCATCATTCTATAAATTAGAATTTCATGGCAAATTCTGGAGGAGTTCTGAGGGTCACATCCAAGGTTTCCCAAAAATTTCCACAGGACAACACAAACAAGACCACTGCTACAATAAAATACCTGGTGGGACTTTTTATTCAGTAATTTATCAACACAAAAACTCTGGCCACAAGCATGATTGAACATGGCAACAAATCAGCAAGGGCAGCATTGGTGTTTATGTATGCCAACAAGGTTTGAACACAAGGGGTCTTACAAACCAGACAGAAACAAGCGGGTGGAAACAGGGAGGGAAGGGTGAGGCGCAGCATCAATGAAGGAGGAATATTAAGGCAGTTGGAAGTTGGGGGAGGGGGGCGAGTTGGAAATTTGTTAAGCCACATTTTTTTTAAAAAAGCCAAGATGTGAGAAGGATGAGTGTGGTGAAACCTAGCTCTGGCTTTGGAGGGAAGTAGGAACTAGCTATCAATGAAAAACCATCTCCTTAGCTGAAAAGACCTTTCCATCAGGGCACTGAAAAGGTCAGTGAAGAGAAAATCGGCCTTCCCCTGCACACACTTTATAGAACATAATTGGGATTTGGGGATCCCAGTTCAAGGTTACCCCCCTTCTTTCCCAGTATTTTGGGGTCACAGGTAGGACAGAGGCAGGAAAGAACACGAGGTGTCACTCACAGTCCATTGACATTCAAAGGGGGGGCTCATCAGTGAGGTGGCTCCCCAGCATTTCTTTGCACAGAAACCAATTCTCATTATTCAGAGAGATACCGAAGCCTCTGGGTGCCCCCACTCATACTCCGTCTCCCACCCACCCCTTCTCCTTCCGTCTGCTTGACTCGCTGCAGCTCGTCCCCACTCTCCCCACCAAGACGCTTGACCCGCAGAAGATTGGGGGGTTCGGGTAGGTCTCCTCCATCAAAAATGGCACGACGTAGGCGTCGGGGAGCCAGTGGGAGGCGCTGTGAAGGCAGGTTGCTTGCTCCTGACAGGATCCTGCCAATCAGATACCTGAAAAGGACAAAGAAAGGAAGAATTGGGGGCTTACCACTCCACTCATGCCACCATTTTAATCTGCAAGCAGAAAACAGGTATTGATTTGCAGACTCAGTTCATACTAAGCTATGATTTATTAACCATGGCTTCTATTAAAAGGGCTATGATGGCTGGGCTCCTACATATTCTTAAACTATGGTTTACAAACTACAACAGCCCCATTCACACTTCAAGCAAAACTCTTAACGCATTAGATGTCCCGCCTTTTTCCCACCTCCCTTTCAAAAGCTGTTACAATTCCCAATGTTAAAAGAAGACACAGATCCTAACTCTTCCCTTCCCAAGAACAGAATCCAGGAAAATCTGGATGTGCACTATGGATTGGGGGGACATAAATCCTTTCCCCGTTAAGCTGATGCATTAAGACAGAGACCTGAACATGGGATCCCTGGGCACCAAGCCTTCCTTTCTCCAAATCACACTAGTGGCATCAGTGAAGAGACATATCTCCATTAGTATGGTGTGGTTGTCTGTAATGTAGCTGGAGCGTAATAATAGGGATGACCAGCATGGGTGGAAATGTCTGAAAGCGTGCAAAGGGGCAAACTGGCCAACTCCTCAGTGATACCTTTATTGTGAGCTGAAATTTGAGAGGGGCTGATCCCTGCAGTTTCCACATTCGCTTTGACCCATGAACCCACTGCCCAAGCCAGACTTTTCTCTGGAGAGATTGTTACATTCTCATGGCCGTAGGAAGAAGGAAGTCTTTTCCAATTTGGGGGCTCCAAAAGCACAAGACGACCAAATGTATTGGACCAGCTCTCACAAAACATGGCTTGCTGCACAGAAAATCATGGGACAAAGGCTTCCTAAACTAACCCAGACCAGAAATTTACGCATCAAAAGCAAAAAGTCACAGGTCTAAGCAAAAAAAATAATAAATCTGGATGCAATATAATGGAATGAATATAATTTTCTTAATGTTGTACGCTGCCCGGAGTCACTGTGTATGAGTTGGGCAGCTGTATAAATGTTTAATTAATAAATAAATAAATCCTGTTGGTACAAAGTAACTTTCTACTGATGAAATAATGATTATCATAATTATTATTATCAGGAAAAATTTTCTAAGAGTGCAGGGGGAGAAGAGTTACGATAGTGCTTCTTTCTTCTTCCCTCTGCAGCAACTCCCACTCTTAAACATTTATTCCAAAGACTGGATGGTTCCCAGTGCTGGAGGACGAACTCCAAATCTGAAAAAATCCTCTTTCATGTTATTTATGCTTCCTTTGTGAACTACTCCCTGAAAGGCTATCAAACAACCATTTTGTTTTCTTTCAGTTAAGCTATGACATGATTTTACTCAACAGTGAAAAATGAATTGACACAGGCTTAGAGGCACATCCCACTCTATTTTCTATAGCTCAATGGCCGCATTCTGAACATTTGAGAGTTAAATCCTTATTCAAAGCAAACCCTGATTTTTTTTTCCCCCCATCTCTGGCTACCTCAGCATCTCAGGGTCCACCTCTCCAGCAGCTTCCTCCTCTGCGCCCAGCTCTTCTTGGGGTTCGAATCCTCCTTCGGGAGCCCAATAATGATTCGGCAGTGCCCTGGGTGGAGAGGAGCCACCTGCCAAGCCAGTCTCATCGTACTCGGGGTACAAGGTTGCCCCCTTGGCTTCATCCCACAGCCTCAGCAGATTTGCCAGGTAGACAGATTCCTGGTCCCGGCGATGCCCATCCTGAAGGAGGCGCTGCAAAGCACGTGCCAGGTGCTTGTCTGGCTGGAACTGGTTGCTAGGTGGAGACACCGCTCTTTCAAGGGCCTGGGCCATTCGCTCATCAGCCAGCTGGTTCCCGGAAGAAGCCAACACTCGTTGCAAGGCTTGGGCATAGTGATCTTCTTGTAGCTGGCTACCTGGAGTCGACAGGGCCCTTTCAAGGGCAGCCAGCTGAACCAGTTCCGGATAATACACTTCATTAGCCAAGGCGGTCTCAACAGCCTCATATGGTGCCCCCTGAAGCTCACGGCGCACCCGCCGGGGGCCCCCTGACAGGTTGTGATTCATCCCTCCATGGGAGCTGCCTGTGGTGGGCAGAGGCTACAAGAAACAGGGAAGATGATTGACAGGAAGTGAATAAATATGGACAGACCGCAATCAGGCTGGGGCCAGGCAGGGAGGGAGATAATTAGATCATTCCTGCTGTGGACTCAGAGCTGGGTCTTTGGCAATGGATTCACTACACATCGATATGAAACAGCAGAAAATGCCCCCATCAAACTATAAGTAGCTCAACACACAAGTAGTTTTAATTCAAAATACAGGTAAGCTTCAATCTGATCATAGGAAAGCACTTTTAAATCTTATTGATTTCAGCAGAGAAGAGCATTTAATTTGCTTGTTCAAATAAATTGGTATTTGTATCTTTGTTATGCACACACATGAATTTTAATTCTATCCTTCTCCAGGGAGCTTAGAATGGCAAAGGTTTCCATTGCTATTTTATTCTCTTGAAGTAGGTTAAACCAAGAGCTAGCAGTGGGACCCAGCAGGAGGACTTGCAAGTAATCACTGGAAAATGGAACCGCATTTATTTAATTTTAATACATAAATAGAAGGATGGATGCGTGGATGGATAGAAACATTGATAAATATACAGACACCTCAAGATCAATCTTGTCCCATGTCCCCCCCGATGCATAATAGGTAATATTCTAAAATTTGTAGTGACCTACAATCACAGAAATGACTGCATGTAGTAACATACAGTCACCGAAATACAAAACAAAAGCTATTTTTCAAAGCTTTAGTTTCTTAAATGCCAAAGCATTGAGAAGAAAGAAGTTTCTATTTGTGCCACTGAAAATAATGGTAAGTATTTCTATGGCAAAAGCTAATTTTTGTTAATCATTTTTAATTTGTCATTGGGATGAAGACTGCCTTTGACTGAGATGTATTGTCTATCTATTATACAATTTATAAACAACCCTATGACTGAATGTTATCAAGAGTTTAAAAAATACAAATACAGTACGAGAAAGAGCTTAATTTTATTAACCATTCATTCTCTCTCTCTCTACACACACACACACACATACAACACATGCCCCAAAACACATGAACTATGTAGAAACAAATAGCCTGATTTCACTCAAACTTATATCAATATGATCTATGAAAATGGACTCTCCTCTTGTTGTGATTATTATTCATCATTCCTATCATCTTCCTCTCTATAATTCAGTGGCCCGGTTTTCTGTAAAGTAAGTCTGATTAGATTCTTCCAATGTTATGACAAATCCTCCAGGCCTATGAAAATAAAAGAAATGCCCTGCTCCAAATAAAAGAAATGCCCTGCTCCAAATAAAAGAAATGCCCTGCTCCAAATAAAAGAAATGCCCTGCTCCATTTAGCTAAAGAGCTACCAATTTTTAAAATCAGAAAAATTAACCTGAGCCTCAGCACAGCAGGGATGAAGAGAAAGAAAACCAGGGCAAAGAGCACCTGGGAGAATATGGAAGGAAGTTCGTTTCCCCAAACAAAGACAGGCGGGCATCTCTGCAGAGAACTATATAGAAATCTGTGAGGACGCCAAAGAGACTCTGCAGTCCTCCTGCAGGGTTAGTCACACACCCACCGGCAGGAGGGAAATTAGGAAATCTTGGGTAAATCAACGCATCAAAGAATTGCATGGTTAAATCAAACATGGTCCTGACCTTTCAGGGTAATAGACAGCCCTTCATGCATCAAGCTGATGTTTTGCTACCCTTCAGCAACCTACTTAGCTTTGCCTTTTGGTTTCAGCCGCCATGGTCCCCCCTCCCCCCCAAGGCGTTTACGAATCAGTCATGACACCGGGAGCAGGGAAGGTGGCAAGGGACTCGGTGCTTACATAAAGCATCCATGACGCCATCGCGGAACATAGTCTTCTTGCTCCTGCACCACACATATGTATTCCATGCCGCACCTTTTGGTTAAAATTACAGACACCTTTCTGTGAGCCTACCTGGATACCCTACACTTATTAGGGAAGCATACACACCCATTGGTTTTAGGACACAATGCTTTTTACATAGTCACCTGTCACGCCCCTTCTATAGAATTCAGGTGTATTCACATCTTGCACCCTTTAACGCCCAATAAGAGTCACTTGTGAGATGGCAACTATAGAAATCAAATACATACATATACCTACAGTCAGTCAGTCAGTCAGACAGACAGACATAAATACCTTTTTGCATTCACTTGCACACATAGAGTGCAATTCTTTTGCAAACCCCTCCCCCAATAGTTCAATCCTGGCACAGCCACACAGACAATTTGCAAACCTTGCTTACCCTCCCACC